TGGACACTTGTTAGCCTCATGCTGATTTCTGGCTCCCTACCACTTTGGGACCTCCAGTTTTGGCTGCGTGAAGGCTAAAGGCGTTGTCGCTGATAAATAGCTCAGGAATAAACCCAGAGGCTATGTGTTCACCTGCTTGTCCCAGTTTAGTTCAGCAAGCAATAATCAAGAGCGTCTTCTGCAGCTATACTCACAAACGCACAACGGTATTTACTGTAGACTCTGGCAGAACAATCGGTTTTAGGCAGACAGATCAGTCATCTCATTGCTCACCTGGGAATAAGAAGTCTTTTTTCTTTTCATCCCCTAGATCATTCCCCTCATTTGCATTCACTTTTGGCTCAGAAATAAAATACTTGAAATCTCAGCTCAGCAAGAGCTAAGTCTGAAAATCAAGACGACTAAATTCGTGGACATTTCCTGGGAGTTCAGGCAAAAGCCAATCTGAGATTTTTTTTCAGAGACTGAGCAACATGAGGAGGAATATTTGGGGGATGAATAGGAGAGAGAAAGGTGCTTGGAAGGAAGTGACAGGGCAAGAGGAAAGACAACAGGGCTGAAAAAGGATGGGTCTCACTCATAGTGGTTCTAAATTGCCTTCTCCTCACCAATGTCAATGAAATTCCCCCTTACCTCAGCGAAGATTTTGTCCCAAACAAAGCAACAAGTCCTCTCTGTTCTCCATGTTACGCATGGATTTAGGTTTTTAGCAGCTATTTTGGACCAGCTCCTCAGCACATGAGGCCCAACATAGCTCCCAGCTGGCCTAAAGGAGATGAGCTGTGACTCTGCAGAGTCCTAACAGGTTGTGAGCAAAGCCAGCGATGACCCTGTGTACTGTCTTTACACTCCAACAGGCATTTTCTCTCCCCTGCAAACTAAGCTCAGTACATGAGAAACAGAAAACATACTAAGCACAATAAAAACAGAAAGGATTATTCTATACTAATCCATCAAATCAGGAAAATACTATTACAAAACAGTGCAAGTCAAGAAAGAAGTAAACGTTAGGTCTTTCCATTGTACTAAACCATTATTTATCACCTCGGAAAGGATATTTTTAAAGCAAATGGCCAAGTAGTCCTCTTTATACATGGAGATACTTCAAAGATAGCTATGCTATAGAAAACCTAGACAGAAAATACATACTCGCTAATCTGACAAGAGTCTTACTAATCCCTTTTACAGCCAGCTCCTGTCTTTTCCATCTTTGAGAACAGCCAGTTACACTGCTAACTACAAACCTGAACACTGGAGAGGAGAGAGCATTTGTTAATTATGCTAGCTTCCTTCATTTTCTTACTGATGTGGCTTTAGAGCAGTGCTTTTGAAAAGCTGCTGTTGTGGGGCCTTTTGTGCTGCTGAGTGACTGCTGTGCTCCACCCAGGAGACAGCTGCATCTCAACAGGGAGGCAGGTGATCCTCATCCACAGCCTGGAGTGTGTTCTGGGATGAAATGCTGCAATCCTTCTATAAATCAGACTGTTAACTCAACCGGAGCGCAGCATACTCTGTCTTGGAAGGGGGAAAAAAAAAATCCCCCTGAAGGATGTATAAACCTGACCATTGTCTGATCCAGCTGATACAGGGCTGATTTTCTCACTGTGGTATCGAGTTCCAGAGGAGCCTATTTATACTGAATTCATAAGTGCTACTTTGTACCCAGAAGAGTTCAGCTCTGTATTTTCAATCAGTTAGTGGCCATCAAATTATAATGGGGTTTCTGGAACTATGGGTGCTTTATACTCTACTCAGCAGGCATTTAGGCACGCTTACCCTTTGCTTTGCTAGCTCTGCTCAAGTCACAGCTCCTCATTTCATTCAGAAGTGCTGTCCCACTTACAGTTAGCTGTTTCCTAGAATGGCAGAAGCACATTCAGCAAGAACGGACAAAGCTCAGCAGACTTCCAAGTTTCTTGTATGAGCCCAAATTTACTTTTTACCATTTCTGATTGTAGCTTGTAATTCCTTTTTGCAGATCACAAGCCTGGTTCTGCCTCCACTTATGCCTCTAGGACATCAGGATCATTTCCCTACTTTGGAGTTGTGCCTCACCAACAGGGTTTACAGTCTGGCCTGCAAAGGCTGGCTCTTCATCTGATGCCAGTGCAGTGCTACATTTTCCCTGAAAATATCTTCTCATATCTTACGCACCATGAGAAGTTTCACCACCTTCACCCAATACGCGAGTGAAGTACATGAGGGAAACAATATAGTGCAGGTAATTAATCTCAGGGCTAGTCGAAACTAAAGCAGATGGGGTGACTTTCTTCATTCACGTCAGCCTTTTCATAGCCAATTCATGACAACGTCACCCCAAACCTAACATCAAAGCCTGTCTTTGCTTCTTTGCCGTTCCGTAAACTTACAAAACCAGCTCATCAACTAGCTTCTACCAAGGAGACCTCAGGCACAGGCCCCTTCCTTTCCCCAAGGGATGCCTTTACTGCTCAGACAGAGTCATCATCTAAGAATCATCAAAACCAGTTACCCATGTTCTCACGTCTAGTCCCAGTCACCCTGTGCCCATAACTGCAGTTACCGATGCTGTAAGTATCTCCACAAGCTTACATGTGACTGCTGGGACTCGCACCCTTTTGGTAACTCAGGTTCTCTGCAAAACAAAGCAAAGCAAAACGCAATAGCAGTTTTCCTCGCCTCTTTCTCCACCAACTGCTTTCTGGTCACTTGCCTATTGAAACACTTAGGGTACAAGGAGGGAGAAGGAATTGGTAAGGGAGAAGTAGGGAAGTTTACTGTGCACCTGAAATGGTCAAAAAGATTTCTGCCTCAGAAGCACTAACTTCAAAAGGGTTCAGTCCCCATTTTATCGTTTTTAGCTCTCCTCCTTTCTTCCCGAAGTCACGTGGGCTCACAGTCGAAAGAACGACCTCTGCTATCTTAATTATGCCACTGAGTTCAGTAAATGCCCCCAGCCTAGCCCTGAAAAAAAGGTGTCCAAGCTTTATTAATACTTTTGCCCATGCAACCTCAGCAGAAAAAATAGCTTTTTATCACCAAGCCTGGAATAATCACACAAACACAGATTGTAGCGCTATAGGAAAGATCCTAGGTCTTTCAGCTAGGACTCCTGCCTGAGCAGCTGAAGAGCAGGGTCTTGACAAGAGTCAGGCTGAGACCCCTCCCGCTACCGCAGGGGCAAAGTAGCCCTGGGAACGCAGGTAGAAGACACCCCCAGCTCGCACGCCCCCGGGCTCCACTGCGGGGCTCCCCTAACGGAGGGGGCAGCAGGCAGATCAAGCACAACTGTTAAAAGGGATAAAGCAAAGTATTACGTTTTAATTGATCTAATCTTTGGCTCCCAGTGGAATCTGCAGGGATATCTTACTAGAATTACTCAAGTTTTATCAAGAGATGGCTATTCTGGGAAAGTGCATTTTGGACAGCAAACCACTCCAGATCTTGAAGTTCATTAGCATTGGGATTGGCTGAGTTTCAAAGACGAGAGCAAAAGCTGGGGAGAGACAGAACATGTGATGTGTAAACCCATCTTCCTGGGCATGCAAATGCATAGGAATACAAAACCCAGGCATATACATAATGATGTCTGCTGTGGTGTCCTCCAGGGTGTGTAAAACCTGTATGTATTCACTGGTGAGAAGAAAATGTAGCGCCTACAGAGACACTAGAAAAGGCATCCAAAATAAAGCAGCTTTTACCCATCTACTCGTGTTCTGAGGTCCGTTTCAGCTTTGAGTGTAAATAATCTGATCATAGAAGGGGGAAAAAAAGAGGGAAAAAGGGTCATGAAAAAATCTCCTTAAAATACAGATCCAAACATAAAATACTATATTGGAAGAGAAAGCTAACAAGAGACATAAAAAGTAAAGACACAGAGAAACGAGGTGGTTTCTCATCATTTTTCTCCTGACAGCCTCTGTCTGAGCAGATGACTGTGAGATCTTCAGAGAAGCAAAGGGAAGATGTCTGGCTCTGTCAAGTTTCCTCTTTATTCACCATACTGAAGGGGGGGGGGGAAATCAGGTCTGATAAATGATTCATGGAACCTTTTCTTTTGCTAATCTGTAAATAAATTTTAAAAGCAGCTTCTTTTTGATGAATATATTTGGCTGCTCATAAAAACATGTCAGCCTTTAAACCCAAGACAGGCACATTTAGACGCATCTGGTGCTCTTGTCAGAGAACCTCACAAGAAATGAGAGTCCTTTGAAAGCCCAAGCTCGGATGCTTGCCGAGTGCCGTTCTCACGAAGGGATGGAGGAGATGCTGATTTACACCAATGGAGGATCTGCCCCTCTGATCCTACAGTATGAGATTGCCAGGCTGTGGCAATTTCTTACCTCATCATCCTCCTTGTACAGCTCAGCTCGTGCTCTCAGCTTCTCCTAGTGCACCCATCACCATGGCACCACTGCGCAGGTCCCTGCACGTCCTCCTCATCAACATGTTGGAGACAGGTCCCTGCACCATGTAGGACCACACATTTGATCTGCTGACCCCAACCCTCAACCCACGGTATCTGCTGAACCCAAACCTCAACCCACGGTCAACTGGGTTCCAACCAGGAGGTTTGAAAGAGGCTGTAGCTGCTGTTGCCCTCATCTTGCTGAGACCCAGGCCCTCCTGAAGAGACTGCATTGCAGTTTGTTATGTCCTGCCTTGTTCCCCCACCCCCACCCCCTTTACATCCTGTACTTTTTGTTGCCTTCTTCCCTCCCTCCCTGTTTCCATCCAGCTGCAGATAACAGCAACAACATAGGTGAGGACATAATCAAGCATAGAGACCTGTAACGGCTACAGCACCTCCTCTGCGGCAGCAGAGATTGAGAGAGAACGCCCTCTTCCCCTTCAGCTGGGGAGCTGCTGGGTTTCTCCCTGAGCAGACGGGACTCGAACTGTCTTGCAACTTTGGTCAGTGTGGACGGGAAAGAAAAAAAGAAAAAAAGCATAATTATACAAGGACATCTTTTATTTCAGTACATTCAAGACAAAAAGAAAAGAAAACAATTCAAGAACAGGATGTACCTTCACTCAAGGCTTGCGTTTATCTCCCCCGCCCCTCTCCATTTTCATCTCTTTCCTTTTACAATCAGAAATTGCATAGAATTTGTTTTTCAATCAGAAAATTAAACTCATCAATGTAAAACCCATGTCTGTACCAAGCAGAGGGTGAGCTGCTGCTGTTGCTAGGGAAGTAAATATTTTCCTCACACAAGATCCCAGACTGATGGTTTTCTCAAGTGCTGTGTGACATCTTTACTGCTAGGCATGGGTAGCAAGACACCCTCAGAGCCGAGGATGCTCCATGGGTCACAGACACGGGGAGCTCTTGAGCCTGGAGCAGAGCTCAGTCACTTGGTTTGGGCACGTGCAGAGCACGGGTTTCTAAAACTTTTGGAAGTGACAGTGGGCAGTAAATACCACCTCCCTCCGCTGGTGGGAAAGGGCAGCATTGCCCAGAGAGTATGTGGAAACCCACAGCACCAGCTGCTCTCTCCTGCTCCCGTTTTGCCTTCCACAAAAGACTCCCCCACCCATACCCCCAAAACTAGAAAAGAAATAAGCAAAGAATAACCCCAAAACAAAGCAAAAAAGAAGACACAGAACCCCTGAAATTCCAGGCGTTTCAAGGCCTCTTTGAGTTCACTGTGTTTGTTGGTTGGTTTTTGGCATCTGTATATATATATCTATGAATATATATATATGTATATGTATTTTAACAACTCCTCAAATAGACTTTCATTATATGCTGTTTCTCACTGGGAGCATGTCCCATTCCTTCCTTCCTCATTCTACCTGCCAACCTGCCATAAAGGAAGGAGAGTTTAGCACCTGAAACCTGGTGCATGGGAGACTAGGTCCTGAAGTACCCAAAATAAAATAAAATAAAATAATTACTCCTCCCTTCCCATCCCTTATCCTCCTCAAATAAAAATACCCTCCCCCGCCCTTTGCGAACATCCCCTTGTAAGTCTATGTAATCGGAAAAGATAGCACTAGCATCCTTTCTCCTGGCCTGGGATGGAGAAGTTCCAGGAACAACTCTTGCCCCTGGGTGGGCAATATGTGGTACATGAATTACCCATTATATCCCTCCTTCCCACCTTGGAGTTGCAAGGTAGTAGGGAGAAAACTGCTGAAGACAGGCCAGCCAGAGGACCTTCCTCCTGGTGTGTCACAACTCAGCGGGACGTGCGTTCTCTCAGACATGAGTAGCAAACCCAACGCTCTGGCCAGGCCTGTTTGTGAGCCCAAAGGTTTGTTTGCTCTGGAGAAGCTGGGTAACTGCTCTTAGTTTAAAAACAAGTTTGACATTGTACAAGTCCATGTTCTGTAAAATGGAACAGGACCCTCTTGGCCCACCCCAATCCCCCTGCCCCAGCTTTACTCAGGTTCGCTGCTATTAGTGGTCTTCTCCCACTCCAAGCTCTCTTCGCTCTGTGCAGGCGAGCCCGGAGTCTGCCGTGCCCGGAGGCCCTGAAACCTGCGGCACTCAGGACACACACGGATGTGCGTGCACCCTCGGGCTACTAGGGCAGCTTCCTGCGCGAGTCTTTGTGCCAAAGCATCTGGCTCTCCCCCACTGCACAGTTTCCCGTTGCTGAGAGTGGTTGTGCTGCGGGCTCGGCGTTCCTCGGGGATAACGGGGCGAGTCCGTATCATTCCCCCTCGCCTCCGACGAGGGTGGAAACTGTCCTTGCAGAGAATGATGTTGCGCAGCTCTGTCACCATCTCTTGACACACTGACACCTGGAAGACAGACCCAAGAGATACTGCTCACCAAAGTAAGCCCAGCAGAGTCGCATCTGCTCTGCATTCTGAAGGCAAAGTGTTACAGACCCTGTCTTGAATCTTGCCACTGGCTTTAGATACCAACGCTTGGACATTCATGCTTGTCTTACTCTAGCAGGTTCCCCCTCTGGTCAAAGACCCTATGTTCTGGACCCCCAAATCAACATGAGAACCAAACCTATTGTATGCAAAAATCTGCAGATCTTCCAGACTCCATGAAAAGTACCTGGACTCTGCATACATCTCTGACCCCTTCAGAAGCACCTGGAACTTCCATATAGCCTCGGTATTACTAGCAGTACATGAGATGCCTGTGCATTTTAAACCCTGCCAGACGCATGTAGAGTTCTCATGCATTTTAGCTCTCATTTTTAGGAATGCTCATCTCACCCTAAGTGCATTATTTGCTCCAGAACAGTGTACTACTGAGCACCTCATAAATAGCAATAAACATATGCTACTCCCAGGACACTTTCAGGTCCTACCTCTGACTGCTCAGAGTGCCGAAGGCTCCACAAAAATTCCAGCATTGCCATAAAAATTGCTACGATTAAGCCACAGATGAGAACCACGAAGATTCCGCCAATATTCTCCATTCCCAGGCCTAAAATAAAGCAGAGGACACAGTGCTGTGCAGAGGCAGACACAACATAAATTGCACTCATCATCGTGTACCAACCGAACTCTTTGCTGTTTACTTGACATTGCACACATCCAACCAGGGACCGAAAACTCATAGACAACACTGTCCTATTAAAATCAAACAGCTCAGGTTGCAAACTGAATGACTTGCAATAATTGCACGATCGAAGATGCAGTCTCAAAAATGATGATTTTGCAGATAAACAGCAAGTACATTACAGGGAAGTACAAAGCAATTTGTGGACAAACTGAAAAGAGGAAAAAAAAGATGGGAGATCAATTGGGCACATTAATCCCTGCAAATTATTCACCCAGCTCTAGTTGCTTTGAACTTCACAAAGGGAGATGAGGAATGCTGTTAAAGAAGCAGAGATGAAGAGGACAAGAAAGAGCATTAAGGGAAGCTGGCACCAAGAAAAGCTCCTTTGATCACACTAAAAAATGCTGGTGAAAAATGATTACAGCTGCTTGTATTACAGCAGCAAGGAGAGGTCCCAAACAAGACCAGGACCCAACAATGTTTGACAGTATACACAGTGATAGAGGGGTTCATTTCACCCAGTAGTAGCTGGCTAAAAGTTGGATGCTCTCTGTCTAGCATCCTCTGGCCCACAAGGAGAAAGAAAACAGTCCCTTCAGCAGGGCAATTCATCACCTCTCTTACACATCTCGCTTACGGCAGGATGACTGCACTCTCTACTGATCACAGAAGGAGCCATTCTGCTGCCCTGGGCCAAACACATTACGTAGACAGCTTCATTTAGGGAAGGAACTAAATTCTACCCATGTCAGATGCCAGTCCTGTCCTAAACAGCTTCCATTCCACATACCTGAGGCAGGCAAAAGATGGGAGGGAAAATGCAAGTCATGTCTTAGCTCAGTTAGGGCAGCTCACCTTTCTCAGAGATCGCTGCAAGTTTTTTCCTCTTCTGCTCTCCGAAAGACCACTCTGACACTAACTGGCAGTGAACTAGCAGTCAAGCCTGGCCCAAAAGCAATCCCTTGTCCCTCTTTCTAAGCAGTTAGTATCAGCTGCACCAGTCTGGAGTAACCCCTCTGATGTGAATAGTCACTGATGTACATGAGATTGGCTCTGGACCGCTGGCCTCTTAGAAGCCATGCCCAACCTTTGCACGTGTTCTTCAGCCAGACTTCCACAGATGGGAATGGCCAGATCCTCAGCTAACGCAGTCAGGCCCAACTCCTCTGCAATCTTAAGAGGCAGCTTGAACGGCACCCCTCGAAAACCTGGCTTTAGCTTTTTGTGTACAGGGGGTTCCCACCTAGCTTCCCACCACGACTCCTTTGCACCAAAAACTGCAGCCTGCGCCGCCTCCTCCTGTACCTGCAGAACGGGACCAAAACGTCAAAGTGTGCTGGACCACGGGAGGAGTCAGGGAGCAGCATCTGCGTCTCAGCACAAGGAGTCCGAGAAATGACTCTTCTTTGCTTGTTGTTTTTGGGTCTCAAGTGGACTGGGCTCCTGATTGATTACTAAAAAGCATGCTGTGCTTCGCACTGAGGTGATTGTACGAGGCCATTAGTCAACCAGAACATCTATAAAAATCTTCCTCTCCCCTCTGTAACATTAAATCAAAGTGCAAGAAGCAATGATTTATTGACTTAATCTCTACATGGCTTTTAGACATAAAATTTCACCAAAATCCTTGTAAATCGCTGACCTGTTTTGTTTTAAAACTTACGAGGTCACATTTCTCCCCCGTTCTCCGTCATTCTTTTGTCATCACCCCTGCAGCAATCTAGAGACCGTGTAAATCAGCCCTTTGCAGAGAGATGCCTCCACCAAGACAGCACCGCTAGTACCTGCCCAAATCAGTCTCCAAACACCTGAGCTTTTTCTCACCTACAATATAGCTGATCATTTATTAAAACAAACAAGCAAACAAAAAACTGAAACACTTTCTTATTCCCATTCTAACTTTTCATTAGGCACCTGACAGCACTTTCATTAACTGCTTGTGGCTCACGTGACCAGCAGGCTAATTCCCTTCCTAATTTCCCAAAGTGGGAAACTGAAGCATGATAGAAGGGCATGAAAGGAAGGAAAAACTTGTCCAGGGCCACAGAGCAAGTCAGGTAGCGCTAGAAACAGAACCCAGGAGCCCTGCTTCCCATCTGCCCTTGCCAAATTAGTCTCAAAACAGCCCACAGACTCGATTCTACTTCAGAGGGTTTTTTTGGTTTTTTGGTTTTTTTTTTTTTGCAAGTCCATGGAGGAAAAGACTCCCGCATGCCTGCCCTCTCTCAAAAGGAACTCATTTAATATCTCATCACTTTGCGCTGAGGCCTGATGTCTTGCACTGGTCCAATATGTTATGCCTAGAGAATAAAATCCAGGGCTGTCTACGGTACAGCCATGGCCCTAATAGGAATCACAGCCCAAAGTCCCTGTGCTGCCTCACCCAGCCTAGCTCATCAACTACACACACACACCCACCCACCAAGATCCGCTGCAAGGGATATGTTAAGGTCAGAAAACAAAACAGCTATCATGGACCCTTCTTGGCTCTCTATCTGTGCACTCAGAAAGGTCAAAAGACTATTATTTCAACTGGGGAACCTTCTGGCCTCCCAGAAAAATGCTTGCTGAGGTAAGGATGACTGCCAAAACTAAAAAATGCAGCAACTGCGTTAAGCTGGCAACTGTTGTAGTGCTGGGACATCAGCCTAATGCAGTAGCTTTTAGGGCAATTAGCATAGCATTACCCAAAAGAATTTGCTCTTCAATTTTACAGAGTTACTAATGAAGTCCTTGTGTCCCTTCCTTGGCTGTTTAGAAGGAGCTTTCACTTGGAGCCATTAACCAGCAGGCCTGTGGTGGAGGATTCTTAAAGGAAGCCAGGATTTTGGTCTGATCCCTTTAGCCATCCATTTTCCCATGCAATGCTGCAGACATTCATTAGAAGCTAATTTACCCTCCATATGCCTCCAATATTTGTCATTTGGTTGTTCCTGCTATCTTTGCCCCAGGCAAAAACACACAGCATGAGGCACAGCAGAGCTGTTTGGCTTTCTCCTTGAATTGTGCAGGAAGTAAACTCAGGTCAGAAGAAGAGGAAAAAGTAATTCTCAGGCAGAAAACCTGGCAGTGCTCACGTACAGCTGGAAGCCCATCCTAACGCGGCTGCTGAGGATGCTCCTACTGCCCGATACCTTCGGCAATCGAACACAGAGTAGCGGGGCATACCTTTGGCTCTGTGGTCTTCCTCTTTGGGGCACTTGCCTCCTTCCCACCACTTCCGCTTCAGGATTTCCAGGCGGTTGTTCTCTTGCAACTGGAGAATAGCCAGGTCAAACTCGTCACGAAACACAGAGCCTGCAACACCAAGACGTACGTTATAAGGTACTGCCTCGGCCAGCTTTCCTCCCCGCTCATCCCCGCTACGATACCCTGCTGGTGTGCCTGACTACAAAAGCTCTTCCCTGAAAGGTCTGGAGGGGAATTCAGTCTATGTGAGCCACGGACAACACCCACAGCCTCTTTATGAAGACTGCCAACAAATTAACGCCATTTGCAGGCGGTGATTTTGCCTGGTCACCGAGACCCACTCAGACCATTTTCCAAAAGCCCATTACAAGGGAGAGCTTTGGCTTGCTAAGCAGGAGGCAAAAAGGCCGTTCAGTATTGTACTCCTCCTCCGGACCATTTAGGTCCCTCTCCTGTCATTCAGCCCCTAACTTTACTCTTGCTCTAACGCTCGTTCTCTCAAACTGGTGCACTGCAACAGCAGTGCATCCAATCTACATGCAAGCCCAAACGTTCACCGGAGAGGAGGCTCAGTTCTACGCTCAACACCACGCGCTACTCCAGTCTTCATAATTTCTACTTAGAGCTGCAGAAGACAGACCGTGGGAAAGACTGCAGTTCTCCTGGTAACTCTGCACTATTGTAACAGGGAGAAGCTTTATACTCTTTTTATCTGCTACAATTTCACTGTTTAACAAGACAACGTCAGAACAAATTTCATCCTGAAAATAAGGATTTGTACTCACGATCAGGTTACCGTGACTTTACAAGCTTTCGCATGTCAGCTAAACTACACTGACTATTTGTGTGACTGTTCTTATGTAATTCGACTTAACTTTGTATCGCTAAGTGCAAGCGTTTAAAGGTCAGGAATCAGGCTTCCTGAAACTGTGAGACTGGCCAAAAGATCAGTTGATCATTTGGAATAGCAACTACTACATCCTTTTTCTTTGCTACCCTGGGAGATGATGTTCTCTTGTTAGCGCTCATGTTTTAAAGAAAAAAGACTACCATTTGTTAAAACCTGATTACTAGCTGAGATAGTGAATTCTATCTAGCTGAGATAGCCTGATTCTCTGTTCTGGTGTTTTAAGAAACATCAGCTGTTAAGAAACTTGTGCTAAAAACTACAAGAGTTGCAACGGCATTACTTTTACAGAATTTCTGAGATAAAACAAGAAGCAGAAAATTATTCAAGGAACACTGATTCACAAAAGGGAAACAGTCAGCAAAGAGCATATACGCAGAAAATAAACAGCAATTTTGAAACGTCTTTCACATGAATTACTTAAAGAGCCGCAGTCGCGTATTACACGGCTCTGGACCAGAGCTGGGTCTCATACATCTGGCTTGGAGCGTGCACCTTGGACAACTGGAACGTGTTTGATTTTCCTCCTGAGATAAAAATGACCCTGGGCAGAGCCGTGAAACGTGACATTGGTTTTAGAGCCGGTTCAGCCTTTCAAATGCTCCGGTCCTCTGCTGACAGCCGAGAAGGACTAGAATTTTTCTTCACTGCCTACCGACGGGCATGCCAATCCCGTAGCCCTTGGTGTCCAGAAGGCCCCCGACCTGCGTGAGGTTGCAATTGCGCTGACGATAATACTCGTTCATGGTGGACTCCAGCAGGAAGGCGTAATTGGAGTTCAGCACCCGTGCAATCCCTTCCTCCGTGCTCTTCACAAACACGCTTGGCTGCTTGGAGTACATGTAATTCCACATCCGCTGGTATGTCTGATAGCGGGAATTCTGCAGAAGAAAGGAAGCACAAGGAGCTAAGGCAGGAGCGTCTCCTTGTAACACAAACCCCCAATTAGATGCCATTAAAAAGCACCACAATGTGGAAAGGAGTCAAAAAACATTGGGGGCCAAAGCCACAGAGGAATTCAGATGCCTAACTTGCATTTATTCCAATGAGTTTCAGAGGCCCAAATATCTTGGTGGATTTGAGACTTTGTTGTCAAAGTCTGGCATGAAATGCGTGCCTAATTCCAATAGGTTCCAATAGCTCATGCATAGCTGATGTTCTCTTAAACCGCTGAATGCTCCCCACATGGCTTACACCTTATTGCTTGTCAAAGTAACCTCGTGCTTAAGAGCTAGTGTCAGAGCCAGACACCATCAACCCAAGAAGGGCACTGAGTTCTGGGTGTAGAGCCAAAGCTCTTTTGAGGTTGTTGCTGGACTGTGGTTTAATCCATCATGAAACAAATCAAAGTACCTATTTAAGTGAACTAGTGTCTTTTCACTGGCTGCAGTAAACTAAAGCCCAACCAGACTCAAATCCTGAGACTTTGGAGGTGGCGGAACCCATTTTCGTTTGAGCGAGAGAGAAACTGACTGCAGTTAAACTCTCTTGCCTGGGCTGAGCCAAGAGTGAAACTCGCTAGCACAGAGACTGAAAATAATCACCCTCTGGTCTACGTTAGGAGTTTCTGAATTTTGACTTTTACCCCTCAAATTTGTATTTCTACAGCACATGAAATCCCGTGGCACCAGACTTCGCTCACCTCCAGGCAACCACATCAGGTAAGTGGTGTGCTGTTAACCAGTCTCCCGGCCAACCACATGGCCATCACGCTTTTAAGGGCTGATTTCCTGCGGCTCGTGAGCTATATTGGAGGGTAAGTCTGCTGCTGACCTAGTTATTGACCTCAACTGTCCACCTTTATTCTGTGGGTACAGTCACTTGTGCAAGACAAGATGAACGGGTTGTGTGTTTGTCCCTGAATCACTGTACTTTTAAACCCCGGGTATTAGCATCAGTGGAAACTGCTGCCAGTAGAGGTTAATAGCCAAGGTGGTTTAGGAAAGGACATACGTCTCAGGTAGCCACTAGCTGAGGTGAAGACAGCTTCAGCCATGCCTGCTTAATCCATCACTGCACTTGACTCACCACCTTTGTACCAATGGAAAATGGATCCCAACACAGTGCAAAATGCTGCATATGGTACAAGAACATGTTTTGCTAATTTCTCTTCTGATCCTAGTGACTCCAGCACACACCAGGCAATGTAGAGCTGCAGTCAGGCTTTTTAACTTGAAAGCCTTCCTGAAAAGAACTAAGCGAGTGCCTCATATTCAACCACCTTATTCACTTGGGCTCTGTTCAGCTCATTTTAGATGTAACGTTCTGCTTAAAAGTAGCTTTTTGCCAAACCCCTGAAGGGTGTAAAGTCAAGCTGAAAAGCTCAGGCTCACTTGAGAGATTTCTCAGGTTTCCCAGTTCAGTTCAGACTGGGAGGAAAAAAACAGTGAGAAAAGCTTTATCTCTTCTTCATATTTCAACATCTAATAAATAAATGAACAATCCTCAGTAGCTCTTTATGTGTCTAGTGCACTGCAGAAAAAAATCAATTTGTTTCCCTTCTAAACAGAACAGGGAAGATAGAAATGAAACTGGGCTAAACGGCATGTATACATTTGCACGTTCTTGTCTTGTTTGTTTTCAGTGCTGTTGACCACATAAAAATTACGTTTTGCACACGCACTTTTACCTATGCTAGCCTACCTGGGGTTTGCAAAAGTTTCTTTGCTCATCTAACCTGAGGGACTTCCATGTAGAAGTTAAAGTTGCATCATAAAGGCATGGAGACCCACGGAAATTTGGCTGCAAATGCTTAGCTGCTGAAGACCGTGTTATGTCATCACCGTGACATACAGATATGAACTGTTTTCCTACCCACTTGGTGATGCTCCAAACGCAAAGTCATCTTCCCAGTCTGAGCCAGTAGGCCTGTTCCCCTATGGTCCAGCACAGATCTCCTGTCTCTACTCCTCCAGCATCCAAAGATCATGCCAACTGCTACATTATGAAACACAGCCTTCACTCTCCTCCTCCTCCATGCCTCCCATGCCACTTATCTCAGTTCCAGCGTAATCTCAGCCCCCTTCTTGTTCAATTTTGTATCCCCAGAACTTCAGAACCCCCTTCTTATGCTCTCACCTTGACTCAGTGGTACTTTTACTTAAAATCTGATTTAAGAAGTGGAAAGGATTTAAGGATTAAAGGTGTGGCCCACTGAGAACAAAAATAAAGATGCAGAAAAAGCAGAGAACTGATTTGCTTTCCTTGAAACTTTCTTTTCTAGATTACAGTCCAGAAATTGTAATATGCCCTCTCTTTTATCAGCCTCATCGCTGTCCATTGTAAATTCACGACACGTTACCGATCACACGCCCATAAGCCACGATGCTCTCAGTTAGGAAACCATTTAAATGATCCCATCATCATCCACTATGGAACTAGCCCAGTCCTGTGCAACCATCTAGCCAGAGGCTCAACCAAATTACCCCTCCGGGCAAGAAACCGGAAGGCAACACACCAGAAACAGGTACGACTGGCTAGGGCCTTTGCACCCCCTCCCCCTGTTAACAAAAAAATGGGGTTTACTTGGAAGAAGGTCATGCTGGAGCCTCCGTGAATGGTGCCATACTCGATCGCTGTCTGGTCAGCCAGGTCATCCACGGATTCGATAGGGACGTCCATCCGTTGCACGGTCAGGAAGGCTGCCAAATTGGCTGTGTAGGAGGAGATGATGATCAAGGTGAATGCCCACCTAGGGAAAGGGGAAGCAAAGAAAGTGAGAGAGACAGCGACCTAGGATTTCCCCATGGACTGAATCTGATCTCCGTCCCCACTCTCTGCCTCTCCACCTGCTTTTGCCCAGAATAGGTCCACAGAGAAGCCAGGCACGTGCAAAGTTCCCTGAAAATGCAAAGCTTCATCACCCTGATCCTGATTTGCTCACGGTAGCACTATTTTGTGTAGGTACCATTCTGGCTAAAGAGTCTGCTCTACTTCCTCTTTAAGACGAAGGCTGGAGCTCCTTACCAGACTCCACTGACACAGCGCGTGGACAATGCTTGGGGCGCAATGGTAGAGCCCTGCTGCATGAATCCTCCAACTGGAAACCACAAGCTGTTGCCGAGAGAGTACTGATTCACGAGAAGATTGCATCTTCCTTGTGAGCAGGGGTGGGGGCTGTACCACTCATACGGTGTCAATCTAAAATGACAAGAAACAAGGAGCTCAGTTAATTCGCTATGAAATGCAGCACCATGGAGAAAGAAAGCACAACTGTGAAGCCCTAACTCTCCTGGAGGCAGAATTTTCTGAAGAGGAAACTCTTTGCTGTCAATTGATGCCCAGGGCTCCAAGCTGAGTTGTGTGCTGCAAGACTCGGAAGTCAGAGGCTTCGATGCAAGATTTACAAAAGTTTTGAGAAGCTCTGCTGAAAATCTGGGCATGGGCTGTGGAGAAGCTGGAGCCCGGTTTGCACATTTGTATCACGGACAAGAACACTAATAGTGCTGTAAGTGCGTGGACTTCATGTGAAATCAATCATCTTCTATTGTGTGTCCCCTGCCAGAGAATGAACATCAATGAGACGCTCAAACGTGAAATGTCAGACCTGACTGCAGAGCAGCATCAAGAAAAATAACTGTATTGGTGCAAATGGCTGCTTCAAGGTCTATTTGTCCCACTAAGGTCTAGGTCCCAGGTCTAGTTTGAAGCCACGTGCCAGTTTTCACAAGCATCACATGCTTTCAGTGCTCATGGGGATGGGACAGAGGTGGGAATCTGAAATAACTGATAACATGCCACTCAAGTGACTATAGCCTAGCTCTCCTCCTCGTTCTGTGGATGGAGAAATCATCAAATAACATGACTTCAGCCACACGAGTTAAGAGCTTCTGACCCTGCACCACAGCTTTATTTCTGCTGTTTCCAATCCTCAGTTTTGCAGGCGTTAGGAAAGTCTTGCAATTCCTATGCTGCAGTTCATTCAATTGCTACTGGTTAACAAAGCCGGTGGGTCGTTCTGGGGATACTGCAAATACAGGTGAAGGACACTGCTATCTTACATAGCATTTAACCAAAATAAGGTGTTCATTTTCATTTCTTCATCTCTGACCTCACTGCAAGGCCAGAAAGGTGGAGGTTCTTGAAGCCTTTCTGTGGCGGGGCCAAGGACGGGCAGTAAAACATCGTTCTGAGAAAGTCTTTTGCAATTCACAGGGTCAAAAGCTCCTAACTGCTGAACAGCACAGACAGCAGTGCTGGAAACTCCATCTCCAAGGCAAAACCATGCAAAGGCCCCTTTCTAGAGGATCTTGTTTAAAACCTGCAAAGAGAGGCTGCAGAGGCACCAAATCTCAGTCTAGAGAGAGTGCCTGACTGCATTATTAAGTGGGTTTTTTTTTTAGGACAATGTTTTTGAGACTGTAGCAGGATTCAAAAAACCATTAAAGCCCTGTCAGCATGACAACTTTAGCCATGCTAAGGGACCAACTGACAGCACACTTCCATTTCTATAATGGGAATTGAGTGTTAACCATGACCTGAAACAGTCTTTAAGCCTTGGTCATGTCTTTAGCACATGCTCTCAGGACACAGTTCAACTCTGTCCAAGAAGGCCCATCTATGCCACTGCACACAAGCAGTTTGTTATGGGGTCAGGGAAAACAGCAAGGTAGCCAAGACCCCGGGCCTCGATGGGAGACATGCTGCAGACAAGCCTTCAATGATAAAATTTAAGACAGATTTAAATTAGTCACAGGGAGCTGTCAGGCAAGGTTTTGCACATAAACTGAGAGGCTCTTGAAAGATATTAATGAATTTCCATTTTCTATATGCACTGGATTTTAAAGGCCAGAGGAACCGACACGAGTACTGGAATTGGATTTAAAATCTCTGAATCCATTTGTCTGTATCTGCTGGCCCTATCATTTCTATTCAAGAGGGGCAGCTGGGTTTATCCATCAGATTTTGCACCTAGAGAAAGCTGCACCCTGTTCACGATACCAGCCCTAGGCTTGCACCTCCTCCCACCTTTCTGAGCCTTCCCAGGCAGCTTGCGGCTGCAGTGGCCAGAAGCGTGGCCAAACGCTCCTGCAAATCCTGCCAACCTGCTCCTGCCCGCGCCACGTGGTAAAGCCACAGCCCCCGGGTGGCAGAGGACAGCGGGGCTGGGCCGAGCCTCGTACTTGGTTTCCAAATCTGTGGCCCGGCGGTCTCATCACGCTTCCCCGCACGGGGCTGAGAGCATGACGCTAGATGGCACCGCGAGGAAAGGAACGACAACACAAGTCACATTACCGAGCAACCAAGAAGAGGACACAGCTGACAGCCAGGTAGGCAAGCAACATGAAGAGCCAAACGCCAGGGGAAAAGGGATCCAGGAAAGAGAAGTAGCCAGGTTTGCGGCCCTGAAAGGGAAACAAAAAAAGAGTTTGACCTGTATTTATTTCTTAAAATTAAATTGCCATTCTAAAAACGACACGACGAAACACGTCTGCCCTGATGATGACAGTGGATGGGAGCAATAGACAGAAAATAAAGTAAAGGGGATTTGCAAGAGTCTTGCAGAGGACACAGGTGAGATAGAATGCACCAGCACAAATCCCTGAGTCCTGCAGCATCTCACCAGCTAGGACACGTCTCCTCAGACACTTCCTCTTCCCACCTCAAGCAGCTTTTGTTCCTCTAGGCAAACAGAAACAGGTGAAGCGAGAGAAAAAATGAGACAATGCCAGGGCTCTCCCCTCCACAGTGGTACAACGTCTTTCAGATACACACAGTTAGGAGCCCGAGGGTTCCTGTCCTTGTGAGAGGGAGTACTGGCTAGTGGCACCTCCTGGAGAACGTGGCCTCGGAGCTTCACTTCACCTGGCACCTCTCAGCCTGCAGGACCTCAAAAGGGGATGCCCAGATCTGTAGCCCTGGTTCATCCAACTGGTCTTTACACACTGAAGGGCTCCCCTGGGAGAGAAGATGCCTGAGCACAGAGGTGGGTGGGATCCTTCGCAAGAGGTAGAGTGGGAGAAAGTATTTCCATCCAGAAAGAAACAAAAAATGTTTGCAATATTTCTGTTTTTCTCTCTTCAGGCTTGAAATGGTATTTCTTTACATAACCCAATAAGATGATTACTTTTATCTCAGGGAACACGGTATTTTTATCTTCAGCATGCGTCAGAATTTCCTGCTTTTTCCCAGCAAAACCACCTTTGCCTTCTTGAAAAATAAGACCCTCACTGCTAGAAAAAGTGGGTTATCTCCTCTCTGGATAACTTACAGTTTCAATAGGACACTGCTGCCACTGAAATCTTGTCAAATTTTGTGAAACTTTTACAAAGGGAGGATGACTATCTAGAAGTTTTTCAAAAGCTGAACACCTCCCAAACGGTTGAAAATATTTCTCCTGCTGCCACTAGCTGAGCATATACAATTCCTCTGGGACCCAGCCACCTCCAGGGTGCGGCAAGTAGCCACGAATGTCTCTCCGGCACACTGAACGACACTGGGCAGGCAGAGAGAGAGGCAAAAACAGAACAAAAGTCATGGGGGTAAAGAATTGCTCTTTTGCTCTCTACAGTTTTTAATATTAGTAAGGAGCAGGAAGCGCTTCGTTTAAGCACAGATCTTCTGGCATTCCTCTCCCATCCCAAATGCTGCAGGTGTTCATGCAATGTTCATCCAGCTCAAGCATCTGCTTTTCTTGAGGTCTCCTCTGAAAAACTCCCAGCAAAGGCACACAACATAGGACAAAGGGACTGCGTTAACCCTGCAGGGATGTGAGCTCATGGCTCGCACGACCCTGTATCTTGAATCACAAAGTCAGTCCTTGTATCACAAAACCTCAGGCTCTACAATTTCCCCAAATATTTGTAACCACAAAGCTGCCCAGGAGCCAGAGCTTTTACAGTAAAGTCAGAGGGGAAACAGCCTCCACTCTCCCCCCGCAATATTCTCCAGGCTTTGCTATAGGGAACCTTTTATTACATTGCTAGCTAGGCTCTTCCTACGTTTCTTATTAGCACGTTGCTGTGTGGCCGGCTCAAAACATATATCACTCTCTGTTCAGTTCAGCTCACTCAAGCAGTGATTACCCAGAACCTCCAAGCAAGACAACTGCTCCGCTGCAGGTTGTTCAGTTTACACCAAAGCCACTGTCAGGGCCCTTCTTTGACAAAGGGAGGCCTCATTTTTCCCTAGTCCACTGCCTTATTCTACCCATCTGTGACACCACGTAAACTAAAAATAGCTAGTAATAGGTAACACCTAACCTCAGTTGCCATAGCAAACCCAGTATCACCACAGACCAGGGTCCTAATTTTTAAGCACTGTGCTTAATCCAAAGGCAGAGAATGATTTTATGTTTTCACAAAAATCTCCAGGAAATATAGCTGGAATTTTTTTCCTTCCCCAGGCTCAAGAGGGTCACTTTAAATTCTGTTCTCATTAAAGAACTGTTTTAATATTGAAATATTCCTAAATTTATGCAAAGAAAATGATTTTCACAAGGTTTTGGTAGTTCTCATAAAGACTAAGATGTTGCTAAAAAAGGCAGTAGTTCTTATGCAAAAAGCTTCCTCCAATAAAAATATCTACTGTGATATTCTGAACTCCAGTCACCAGCTGGGACCATAACATTTCAGAAACTTTCTAAAGCAATCTCTGCCCTCTGTGAAGCCAAGAACCAAACCATAGCCACCTACCCATATCCTCAAGGACAAGAAGTCTTTGAGGTTGGCATCTGCATTAGTTTTTTAAAATTATTTTTCTTTTTATTTTTTTTTTGAGAATCTGGCTTATTAAGCCTTTTAACAAACAGATGAATTATAAATCACTGGTTCAGATCCCTCTGCTTCCATTTTTGGGTTAATTTAAAACTAGTTCCCAAAAAAAGGTGCAGATTCTCCTGGGCATAATTCCAGGGTCTATCTCTTCAAGACAAGATCTCTTCCCCATACTGAGTTATCCTATTGTGTGGGGTATATGCATATGAGTGAATCAGACAGGAATGAACCGTGAAAGAGATTACATTCTTCTTTTGATCTTTTCTCTTTTTTTGGTTAATTGCTGCCACGTTCTACTTTTCCTTATATTCTTCCCAGAAACCCAGAGATAGACACATGATTACTACAGCCAACATCTGGGCCTGAACCAAGGGCCTTCAGAGCCAAAGATACCGTTCGAAACTACACACCCAGAGTCCTCGAGGAATTCACATATTCCATAAAATCCTTTGCTCACCTTCTTGGAGCTCCTCTCGCTACTTCAGGGAGGTGAGATCGTCTCACGAGGTTGTGCATGCTCCTGCATGCAGTTTGCAGTCCTCCCTGATCCCATCCACAGGATTATGGGCATCTTGATGTCTATCGGAAGCCTAGAGGTAGGTATTGTAAAAACTCTTCTCTTTACAAACTGCCTGGTTTTCCTGGATGCCCCGCAGCCACCTGGTTCCCTTTTTCATCTAGAGTGAGACTGGCTCAACTGCCTCTTTTCTGCAAGCATTTCCACGCTCAAGAATAACATGTAGCAAAGGGCTCCTGTAAGGTGTGAAGGGCACCTTCTGCCCTTGGCCAAGCAAGCTGGAGCTTCTCAAGCAGAAGATTCCTCAAAGTGGCTTATACTTCCCTGGCATCCCAGAGCCTGTCGACAAGAAGAATTTCTCAAGCATTGCTGGGTATCAGCTGTGGCTCCCTTGTGAGATGTTCTTGCAACAAAGTTCCTTTCCATAATTAGGACCTTGATGTCTTCTCTATATTTCTGGGGCAGTTTGTCAATAAATTACACTCGTTACGGAAATTGAGTTGGAAGCTTTAAATTTCAGGCTTGGCAATGACTCTCTCCCGTGACTTTAAAGAAGCAGTTGTTCTGGTTCTTTTCAGCTACAGTCATTTTCAGGCTGCTGCTACATATTCTTTTCATTCACAGTAGTGATAAGAATAAAGATATTCTGTTCCCATGGAGGGTGCAAACTCTCTCTTATCTGTCTGTTTTGAAGATGGGAGTGACAATATCTGGTGTCTGTCAGATATTTTTAGCAGGTCCCAATACAGCTTTGTTAACTGGAAGAGCTTTTTTTCCTAGAATAGAAATGTTCAAGATGCCCAATAATTGATGAAGGCCTCCTGCAAAGCCTCAGATGGAAGCAGGAGAGATTCATTTACCCTCTTCAGTGGTTCCTGAAGTCTTTATTTTCAACCAGAGAAAACAGTTTCTGGAGGGAGTAGATACCAGTGACAAAATATCCTGAATACAGAGGGACATCAGGAGGAAAGGAGGAGGAGCTGAGCTATATGTTATGCTCACAGATCACAAGTCTGTGAGAGACATCTCCCTGCCTGGCCTGCAGAATCACGCACACATAAAAACAACAGCCTAAAGGGACTCCACAGCTTGTCTGATCCCTCTTGCAGAAACAGTCAGCTGTACCTATGTCATTTCTAATAAACGTCCCTAAAAAGGTCGGCAAAAGAGCCCTCTTCTGTCCCACTGAGTCAGAAGAAAAGAATGAAAACTCAGCCTGGAAAGACAGAAACGTTAACAAGGGCTAGCTTGTAACTTTGTGGTGGACAGACATTTGGTATCACCGAAACAAAGCCTGCATATTCTGGGATGAAAACGTCTTTCCAAACAGATCCAGATTCCTCCATCTCTGGGATCCTTTGCCTCTGGGTACATGAGCAAAAACCAGGCACAGGACGCTGTGAACGCTGAGCTTAACATGGGGTCACCAGAGGGGCCACAACTGACATACCACCATGTCCCACGTTCCCCGACGGCATCGCCACGCTTGGGGCCAGCGGGTGCCTCACGTTTCTGTTTCAGTCAAACAGGAGGTTTGCTCACAGAATAGCACAGCTTATGGGGAGAGGTGCTGCCTTACAACTCTTCAGAGGTCCAAGTTGGCTGTAGAGTCTCCTTAGACCGGAGTGAAGGAGCTATTCACTCTGTCCTTCTCACATTTTACATGTCTTCTGTAGCAATCAAGTAGAAACACTTTAAGCCTCAGTTCGTTTGGCCTAAACTCAGCTATCCCGACGTACTTACTAAATTCACGTTCCCTCATCTAAAGGGAGAGCACAGTAAGGGCTCTCTAGGGCTGATGAGTAAGACACACGTGCTAGCTACTCCCTCATTCCCTTGCATGGTGTGGGCATTCAGTGCAGAAGCAGGTACGTGAGTAAAAGCATGTTTATGCTACAAATAAACCTGACTCTCAACATATCTCTGCGTGGAAATGGCACCGGGCACCCGGGCTCAGCCCTCTGCCGAGCAGAATGACGGCTCAGGGCTCGTCATGTCTCCTGCCTTCCACAGGATCCTGTAAGCTGGCTAGAGCGGGAAAATAACAAAACAAAGAAAGCCTTTTCCTTTAGCAGCCTGCAAGTCAGAAAGCCTATTAGAGTCCTCGTGTCAGAAATCCATACTTGATTGTATCACAACAAATGAAATTGAGAAAAATGACAGCCCCATTTAAAGCTGCCATATTTGGTTATGCGCGATAAGAGAGACATGCAATGTGGTGGCTGGGTTGGGGGAGGAAGGAGGAGAAAGGGAAGGAGAAATCATTTGCAGACAGAGTTATATGGAAATTAAAATAAAATGTCATCACACTGGGAGGCAACTGGGGCATGGAGGCAACTCCTCAGCCGGAGATTTTTTTGGGGTCGTTTATTAGGCAATGTCTGACCTGCACCATGATTAACATAACAGCAGCTGTAATTTTTTGACATTGCAGAGATGCTTGTTGGGGTGAGGAAAGGCAGGAGAAGGGAGAGGGTAAGACCAGATTGGGCTGTGCGGCTGCCTTCATCTCCTCTGCAAACTAAATCCTCTGCAAATTAAAGGAAAACCAGAGCAATTAGCTATCTTGCATTTCATTGTCAAATAAATATTTACTAGTTTAATTAGCCAATTGCCACACAGCTCTCAGACACTCCACTTGCGCTAGGCAGGAAAAGTCTGGCCAAAGAGGGGCCCAATGCTGGAGAGGGAGGAGAGGGCTGGGGAGACTTCCCTGCTCTTGGGCAAGGCATGGGGAGAAGCTGCTCAGGTCCCTCAGCGGTTGCTCCTCCTGGCCTCCACACGGCCAAGCGGCAGGAAACGCTGCGCCTGCAGAGAGGCAGGGCTTCTTGTGGCATGACACGACTGACCCTGCGTTTCCCTCGCCATCCTGCCCGACGTTGTTGGGCAGGCCCACCCGGCTGGCAACAGCTATTGAAAGCCCTGACTAGGTCCTTCACGATGCAACTGAGGATCGAGCCCTGAATGATGGCAGGGGAATACTTGCCAAACCCTTCTGAGACTCTGTAATTATTAATCCTGTTTAGTCTGCTAAATGCCCGAAGGCCAGCCTGGAACGTGGCCCTGTTGCATTACTGTTGTACCAGCACAGGGTAGCAGATGGCCCCTGCCCTGAAGAACTTGCACTCTAAGTAGATGCGTCAGACACATTTGTATCTCGCTTGCACAGCAGCGACAGCAAACGCCTCGCGCTTACGGAGCAGATTACATCCGACCCCCATACCCCTATTCTTGTATTTTCTCTAGAGTGGAGCTACATCAACCTCATGCTGTTCTGAGGAAGGATGCCTCGTTAAGGGACTTGCTCAAGCTTATAGTGGAAAATCAAGAGATGGAGCATGCACGTTGCTCAATCCCCAGACTTTAAAAACGTGCATGGAAGGAGTTGGAGAAAGCAAGAAACTCAGTTAGAACGGCAACCCAGCAACGTTCACAAAAACACCTTCCAGATACACGGGGCAGCTGGGGCGGGATAAAGCAAGTGACAGGGGCAGGGATGCTTACACGTATTCGCTCACTAGAGGAACAAAAGGGTCTGAACCTTTCTGATCAGTTAACTCATTGATCCTAAGTTCTGCATGTACCAGAGGAAAAGGAATTTTAACTAGATTTTAATTACTTGTTTGTTCTTGGCAGGAGAAACTCGGCACAGAGAAATGTATGTGCAAGTTTGTTTATGTTCGTATTGAACACCGAATCTTTAATAGCCTTGTGATTTGAGCGAGGGGGCTGGGAGAGGCAGCTCTAATTGTTTCATCCTTTTGGCTGCTATCGTTGAGCTGATGGAAAACCAAGACGCTCAATTCTCATCACGTTCGGCACCATACAGAGCACGCGTTCAAAGCACGGACTGGGAACAACACGACGTCCCCCGGCCTGCCCAGCGCCGAAGAGCGAGGCAGGACGCGCCGGCCGGGGCCCCCAGCCCAGGGGCGTTCAGAGGCGCCAGGGCCCAGCTGCGGAGATATGCGCATTTGGGCCATGCCTAACTAAGTTTTTCCACGGCTGTCCTGGGCTTAGCTCAGCCTCCCCGGCTGAGTTTTGCCCCCGGGGGACCCGCTCCGCGGGGGGTTCGGAGCCACGCTAACGCAGTCCTACGGCTTGTGCGGGGCCCGAGGCAGAACCAAAAAAGGCTGATATCTGCCCATAATTCACCAGGGAGCCGCACTCCGATTCAGGGAGGGAAGGGGAAGAGGTCAGGGAGGGGATGGCAGAGAGGGACACGGTGGCACCGATCCGACGCTCCTCTGTTCGCGAAACTGCCTGCGATGCCCGAGCGCGCTGCCTGCCCGGGGAGCCAGCAGCCCTGGAAGTTTGCATGATAGAGACTGAAGCTGAGACAAGGCAGAGAGAGAGAGAGAGAGAGAGAGAGAGAGAGAGAGAGAGAAGAAGGAAATAGCGGTCCAGCACGTTTGCGTTTAAGTAAGAAACCAAAATATTTTCGTGAGTCATTCATTATTCTCCTGCAACTCGGTGCGTTTGCATGCAAATAATGGAATGACATAAAGGGTTATAAAATAAGTCTCTTACCATATGAACTCGGTAGAGAATGCTAATTCCCAGAGTCATGAACGGCTTAGAGAAATCAATCACCTTCTCCCGCTCAGCAGTAATCGTCAGCCCAGCCACTGCCAAATCGGCTTTCTGAAGAGAAAGGAAAGCAGGGAAAATCAGGATCGCCGGCCCAGGGGAAGGCCCCAGGCGCTGCATGACACCCCGCTCCTGACGACAGGCAGCCCATCCATTTGGGATGGGGCGCACGCGCTGCGGGGCAAAACCCGAGCTCTGCGCACACCAGCGGGCGTTCTGCCTTGCCTTCCACTAGCGCAGACCGTGGTCCCTCTCCCCCTCACCCCTGGGTGGCATTCGCATCGGCCCTGCGTGGGCAGGCTCCAAAGTTTAAGCCAACTTATGCTCTGGACCATCCTGCCCCGTTCCCCATTCCTCAACAAGACGCTGGGCGTTACTATTACTATATTTATAGGCTGGAAAAACCTAAAGCTCCCAGTCAGAAGCCCATTGCGCTAGGAGCTGCACTAACACAGAACACAACGGTAGCGTCTGCCTTCAAGCGCTCACAACCCAATGACTACTCACAGCGGGCTCTGAACGATAACTCTCGTTTGTCGAATGCTTTAAAATCTGGCGAAACAGGGGCCATCAAGGCAAGAATTACTGTACTGGTCTAAAGACGCTCCCCTTGCCCAAAGCCCCCGCTAAAAAGAGCTGTCCCCTTCCAGACAAGGCTGTTACCTGTGAGCACCATAGGTAGGAAATCAGAACAAAGCAGAGCCATTACCCACGTACCCTGAATTATGAAGCTTAAAAGCTTGCCAATCCCAGACTTTTAAAACTGCAGATTAGTCACCAAAAAACTCAGGGGACTGGCAAAAAAAATTCCAGATTGACTTGCAAAGCAAATGAGATTAAAGAAGAAAAAAATAAAAAGAATTTCTTCCACTGTTAATACCCTTGTAATATAGATAAAGGATTTGAATGTTAAATATTATTTTTATTACTATAGCTCTTTTAATGTCTGTAATTGCTTTCTGTAGAAAATGAAGCCTCCTCCATTCTCTTATATATTTGTTTGCCTACTATGCAGGAGGGTGATTATGCATATGGATAAAGAGAGCAGGGGGAGCACAATTTGCACTTTTCCGTCCCTGAACTTCATAAGGTCTGTGCAGAAGCCAAGGGACCATCAAGGCCCGAAGACCCAATAAAATATGCAGCTTATCTCCCAGGATCCATGCCCTAGTTGTAAATGCACCTCGCAAGGCAAATTTGCGGGCATGCTACTCTTACCACGCTCTCTGAATCTGCTGCTCTTGCATCATTTTCCTCAAGGAAAGAAGGATTAATCACCTCCTGGCAGAGGTTCTCCAGATGTTTCTTTTCCTTCCCCTCCCAACACAGCTGCCCATTTAAAGGCAAGCAGGGAGAAAGGACCAATAAAAGGTAGGAGCTTCGAGAGTAGAACAAAGTGCAGCATTGCTGGAGCTTTCAGGAAGAAGGAAAGGGAAAAGAAAGGCTAGATCAGCAAAACTCCCTATAAATAGATAAGGTGCAGGGGTCAAGGGGGAGGCGATCTTTAACAGTCCATGCAGGGCTGCTTTATTGAACAAGGCCAGTGACAGATTTTGCAATTGTTTGCAAGCAGCTATTACAGATCCCTGGAGGTTCAGGCTGGAATGAATTATGAGCTAGGGAGAATTTCTGCCTAGCCAGACATTTACCCACAGGGTTTTTAAAAGGCACCAATAATCATAGCATGGTGTGCGAGTATTTAAGCCCTATGTAAACACCAGCAGATTACAAAGATGGGATCAATTCATCTGTGGAACAGGGCACATACGGAATTTTATCTGCTGGGAAACCCTAAAGCTTCCTAAACCTCTCTTGTCTGTACTTAAAAGGGTTTGCAGGTACTATTGTCCTGGGGAGAGCTCTACCAGCAAAGCCCCTCATGAAGATACAGCTTATTCTGACAACAGCTTTCTTCTCCCAGTTCTCCAGACTGAATACAATTCTACCAGCAAAATCATAGACTCAATGCACGTCAAATATGCCACATCAAAGATGTTTCTCTAAGCTCTAAGGCCATTTTCATTCCCCCTGCTGTGGGGGGGGCCAGCATAAAGGCTCTGTGCAAAGGAGTAGCGCGGCCCCCACATTTACCCAGCTCAGGAGGGTTACAGCCGCCTGCCGGCTCGGCTCCGTCCCTCGCCTGGCCCCTCTCAGGGGTGAGAAGTGGATGCCATCAGGGAACTTTGCGCGCTCAGTTATTCCTCCTTTGGGACCTTTCCAGATCATGTAGGCAGCAGCATCTTGAAAGCTGCTCTTACCTACGCAAAATATAATGCAAATCCATCGCCCTCCCTTTGTCAGCACAGCAGAGCTCCCCTTTCCTGAGCACAGCGTTTTGTGCTCCAGCTCCTTTCTCCGGAGGGTCTTGTCTTTCCACCCTTGAGACCTTCGGGCCTTGGACATGGAGCATCTTTTCCTGAGGCCAGTCGGGGTCAGTGCAAAAAGTTAACCAGCACATCTGGGAGCACAAAAAGACACCAAGAGCAGCTCGCTGAGCCCCAGGAACAGCACGCCCCGAGTTGATGAAATGACAGACTGCGGTCTCCAGTCTTGCAAGTCTCTCCACCTGCAGGAGCTTTCGCATGATCTGTCTGCTACCTGCTCTGATTCACCCTGCAGCCCTGGCAGAGAGGCAGGAAGGTGATCAGGGCATTAAAGTCCTTCCATTTACTCCCTGCCTGCTCAACTTTGGTCCTTTCAGGACTTTTGCCAGCATCAGAACTTACAGTAGCTTCCAGGTTGCTCCAACCTATGCGCAATTCAATGCAAATCCGCCTTCTCCTTTGCCAGACGCTTCCTGCGGCAGAGACCTGCGGTCCTCACAGCTTCATTTGACTGCGCTATGCCAAAGACTGACTTTCTCTCAAGGCTCAGAAGTCACGCAAGTTAAGAGCTGATTTCTGACAGCAATAAACTGTGAGCTGGGAATCACATGCAGTGTTTTCTCTGCCTGAATATCATCCATTTCACGCTTTCAACTTCACTTCCTGATGTTCACAAAGCTTCTTGCGACTCACTGAGGTCGGCATACCTTAGTTACAGAGGGAGCTTGGCAAGCCTTAGCACTTCCACCCCTCCCCACCTGAGCACAGGCAGAAGCTAGCATTTTATAGACTACACAATGCATTTTGGGCGAGAAATGGATTTTACCTGATGCTTCCGCACTCTGTTCACACCCTGGGGGGGGGGGGGAGAAGGGGGGGAAGGGAGGGCCAAGAGGGGGGGGGGGGGGGGAAGCACTGCATGATTCTCATCCTTCCAGTGCGTGCTCTGCTGCAGCCGTAAACATCAGCACAAAACAGGCTTAGAAAAAGACCCAGAGCATTAGGGGAGTGGAGACAGATGGCTCTTTAATAAAACACTGCTTAAACAAGGGCAGAAGTCTCACTAGAGCCGAGCAAGCCCAGGCGGGCTGGTGTTGGAGACAAAAGCACGACCTGCCGTGACTGCACCCGGCATTAACTGCGGGTCCTGCCCGCACGAGCGGAGAGGCTCCCGCGCGGGCGGGGGGGCACGGGGGCTGAGCCCAGCTCCTGAGGCAGCAGAACAATTAAGCAGCCGTAAGAAGTAAATCGCAGGGACTGCCTGCCCAGAGGAGGCGGCCGCCTCCTCGCTGCGGATGCTGACGAGGCTCATCTTGACGCTAACGGTGATGAATGGAGCGTGACGTCAGCCCTCCGCCTGGCGCAAGAGGATCCCGCGGAAAGATTCCCGCGGCACTCGGTACCGTCCGGGAGACCATCCCTGCTCTGGCCCTGCAGTTATGCACAAGCCTCTTATTACGCTACTGAAACAAAACACAATGAGAAAGTCCCAACGGCTTAAGGCTGCCTGTAGCTGCGAGCGAAGCACAGGGAAAAGAGCCTGAACGTCACCTCTGCCAACGCTCTCAGCAGCACGATTCCCTGACTTTTAGCAAGATCTCAGACCCTAAATCCCTCGGGAGAATATGAGACTCCGCTTCTCACTGGTACTGTCCCCAGAGCACTGACAGTATGGTCCACATCAGGAAAAACTATTTTTCACACTAGTTACAGTGCTTGGCCCTGACTTACAGGCGGCTTCTAAAAAGCTGAAGCCAGAGTTCAACCTTCAGGACTCACTTAACTTGAAACTAATGCCCCCCCCGCAGACCAGTTAGCACGGGCATTTCCGTTGCAGATGTTTGCTCCACTGGAAACCTGACTGGACATGGTATCGAGCAAACTGCTATGGATAACCCTGCTCTGAGCATGGAGGGTCAGTCTAGATGGTCCCCAGAGGTGCCCACCAACCTCAGCTATTCTGGGGGATTCTGTGAAATGAGCACCAGCTCACCACGCAGCAACCGTTTTCAGACCGCAGCAGGGTCAGATTGGATCGCAACCCAGATGGAAAGGCATCAGTCTGGTGCACCAAAGAGCTAGCACGAGGGTGGACAGAACTAGAGCATGAAGTCGCAGCACTCAGAAACACGCTCACGTGCGATGGGCTGCTTCAGAAGAAACCGCAAGGACCAAGACCCCACAAAGCACATGCTCTGGTATCTTTATTCCTCCCCGTCCCGGCCACTCTTCCTCCACCAACCTTCAAGCGGGGCAACAGACTGGCCCTTGCATGGATAAGCTTCAGCCTGGCTCCTGCACCTCAGCCTTGCTGCTTTGCTTCGCCAATAGCCGGCACGTGCCCCCCGACCCAAAACAGTTCTAGCACGACAGCAGGTTACAGTCTTCGGCTGGAAGGGGAAGACTTGAGCCTCCCACTGCCCTGGGGAGAAAGCTTTGCTGCTTCACCTGCTCTGCACCAGGCTCCTTTCCAAGCCCAGCACATTTAGGTAAGGCTCATTTCCTGCTGCTCTCATTCTCGCCCGCCCGCAGCGCAGCTCTGGTCTCTGTGGGCTAACAAGCCTGCCCAAAGTTCAGGGTTGGTTTGCTTTTCAGAAACCCCGAGCGGGTCAGGTCCGTGC